CCCTCTGGACTCTCAGTTCCGGTCCATTTTTCCACGTGTGTGTTTTTATGCCGGTCCCATCCTGTCTCGATTGCTTTAAATCTGCAGTGAGCCTTTTTTTTTTTTTTTTTTTTGAGACAGAGTCTTACTCTGTTCCCCGGGCTAGAATGCTGTGGCGTCAGCCTCGCTCACAGCAACCTCCAACTCTTGGGCTCAAGCGATCCTCCTGCTTCAGCCTCCCGAGTAGCTGGGACTACAGGCATGCGCCACCATGCCCGGCTAAGTTTTTCTATATATTTTTAGTTGTCCAATTACTTTCTTTCTATTTTTAGTAGAGATGGGGTGTTGCTCTTGCTCAGGCTGGTCTCGAACTCCTGACCTTGAGCGATCCACCCGCCTCAGCCTCCCAGAGTGCTAGGATTACAGGCGTGAGCCACCGAGCCCGGCTGATTACATCTGCAGTGAGTCTTGAGACTGGGGCGTGGGGACTTCCAGCTTTGCTCTCTTGTTGGGGGTTGTTTGGGCCGCTCCAATTCCTTTGCCTTTCCATGCAGATTTGAGATCTGTCGATTTCTCTCCTAAAAAGAAACCTTGCTAGGATTTCTGATTGGAACTGAATCTATAGGTCAGTTTGGGGAGACTTGCCATCTTAGCAATACTGAATCCGTCGGTGGGTGAACACGGCATTTTCTCCGTTTATTCAGGTCTTCTTTGATTCCTTTTTTTAGTTAAAGTTAAAGTCAGGAAGCTGGAATGGCAGCATGTTGCTTATAAATTCGGAGATGCACAGCAAAATAAATTATTTTAAATGACTAAAATGGGGAGTGGAGCACTAGGGGTGGGGGAGGGCCGGGGCCTGCCCCGCTCCGCACCAGGCGCCAGAGCGGGACTCGCACCCGGAACCGCCTGCGCCTGTGACTCGGTGGAAACAAGAGCCGGGCGTGTTGCGTGGATCTATGTACATGGTGCCAGGAAGGACCCTCGGGGATTGATGCTGTCTGTGAAAACTTTTAGCGTGTTATGGGGGTACAAGTGTTAAGGTTACTTATTTTGCCCATGCCCCCCTCCCCCCTGAGTAAGAGCTTCAAGAGTGTCCATCCCCCAAATGTTGCACATCTTACTCGTTGTGGTTGTATACACCCATCCCCTCCTCCCCCTCCCCCCCTACACCCGATAAATGTTACTCCCATATGTCCACTTAGGTGTTGATCCGTTAACAGCAATTTGCTGGTGAGTACATGTGGTGCTTGTTTTTCCATTCTAGAGATACTTCACGTAGTAGAATGGGTTCCAGCTCCATCCAGGAATATACAAGAGGTGCTGTATCACCCTTGTTTCTTATAGCTGAGTAGTGCTCCATGGTATACGTATACCACATTTTATTAATCCACTCATGAATTGATGGGCACTTGGGTTGTTTCCACAGCTTTGCGATTGTGAATTGTGCTGCTATAAAACATTCGAGTGCAGGTGTCTTTTTCATAAAGTGACTTTTGATCTTTTGGGGTAGATGCCCAGTAGTGGAATCGCTGGATCAAATGGTAGATCTACTTGTATCGCTTTGAGGTATCTCCATATTGCTTTCCACAGAGGTCGAACTCGTTTGCAGTCCCACCAACAGTGTAGGAGTGTTCCTCTCTCTCCGCAACCACGCCAGCATTTGTTGTTTGGGGACCTTTTTGATAAAGGCCATTCTCACTGGGCTTAAGTGATATCTCATTGTGGTTTTGATTTGCATTTCCCTGATGATTAGAGATGTTGAGCATTTTTTCATATGATTGTTGGCCATTATTTCTGTCTTCTTTTGAGAAGTTTGTCTGTGAAAACTTTTGAAGACTGTTTGGCCCTAAAGTAAACGAGCCCAGGAGGAGGCTTCCTGAGTGGAAGGAGCCATCCGGGCCCAGGCAGGGGTCCGTCTCCCGCAGGGAGAGGAGGCGGGACTGGGGGCGTCAGGCTGGAGCTATCTCCAGACTAAAAATAAAGTCCCGAGCCTGCTTATTCACAGCATCCCGGGGGAGAGAGCTGCGCCCACAGTTAGCTCCGAGGCTGCCGGAGCAGGGGTGCGTGTCCCGTTGGCTTGCGCGATTCCCGCTGGGCGCGGCTGGCTGCTGCGGGGGACACAGCGTCCCATGGGACCTTCTGGAGGGTCTGGCGGGATTTTAAAGGATCGTGAAGAGGTTCCCTGCGGCCACTCCAAAGCGTGATTTCACAGGGCCTGGAGCTGCTTCGGTGCTGAGACTCATAGACGCTCCTCGTCACAGGACCGCGGACGGGTGTTTTCTGTTGCATGAGAGGATTGTCTCCTCCGTGTTCACGGGCCGCGTGGGGAAACCACGCCGACATCGCTGTGGACTGGGAGAAACGGAGACACAGCGACCCGCAGGGGGGCGTCGGCCTGGCGGTGCTGGCGGGCACTCGGCGCTCAGCCAGCCGGTGGCAAACGTGTGGCCGCCCAGGCAGCGTCCCGTCCTGGGCCAGCCGGAGGCTCCCGTGGGCCGCCTGGTGTGTGCAGACAGGGGCACCTGCCACTGTCTCGGCTCAGCTTGCGTTTTTTGTCCTCCTTGCAATTTCCTTAGGGAAAGAATGAGCAGACGCTCCCCAGGAGGGAGTGGACTTTTGCTCTGTCCGGCCGCTGTGATGGACTCGGGGTGCAGTTCGGCGCACGGGAGACCCCGAATCCTTAGGGCATGGCTGAGCACAGGTGGGAGGAGGGGCGAGGGCAGGCCCAGGAGGGGACCCTGAGCCACCCTTCTCACGGGAGCTCTCACGGGAGGTATGAAGCAGGGGATGGAGACCCAGGTGCATCTGCAAGGCCCAGGCCCGGCCTGGAGACCTGGGTGACCGGCTCTGAGAAGGGAAGCTCCTCTCGGGCACCTTGTTCTGCCTCAACCTCCTGGGAGGCTCCCCAACACGGCACACTTTCTCCTGGGGCTTGGGGGGCCTTGTAGCCAAGTCCAAGTGGTCCCTATCCTTCAAGAGAGTATGCGCTCGGCTACTTAAAATCCTTCCATAAGCATCACATTTTATTTTATTTTTTATTCTTCATAGATATTGAGGTCTCACTATGTTGCCCAGGCTGGGTCTCGAACTCCTGGCCTCAAGCGATCCTCCTGCCTCAGACTCCCAAAGTGCTAGGATTGCGGGTGTGAGCTGCCGCGGCCAGCTTCATTTTAGAGGAGATTGTTTTCTGAGCATTTACTGGGTGCACTGGAGTTTTCTCTTTTGAAGGGGAACCGCTGAGGCCTGGCACCCCACCCCATACCTTCTCTGGCTCTTATTCAAGACTGTTTTTCTTTTCCCTCCTGCCTCTTGGTCAGCACTTTCCCCCTTAGAATTAACACTCTTAATTCAGCTTTACTGAAGACATTCAGAGTCTGATCTCACCCCGTCTAGCTGCAAGCGCTTTGAGGAACATTCGGGGTGAGCCCCATGAACAAAATAAACCAGGTGTGTGCCGTAGCCCCGAGATGCCTCGTTCCTGAGCGGTTCGGACTGTCGTGATCATAAATCTCGTTGCGTCTACCTTCAGGAAGGGAGGACCCCTCTCTGGCGTTCTCCGGTCACTTGATAGAAACCCTCTTTTCCAACCCGTCCTTCCTTGAGCGGCTGCCAGCGTGCTCCCTGCAGGCCTGCCTGCCCGCCCAGAGGCACCAGAAGTGAATGCCGGAGATGGTTTCTCAAAGAAGCAGAAAATTGGTTTCTGGGGGGAATTGGAAAAGATATTTTTCCTGTTTAAAAATATTTATTGCATTATTTTTTTTTTTTTCTTTTTGGAGACAAAGTCTCACTCTGTTGCCCAGGCTAGAGGTGAGTGCCGTTGGCTCAGCCTCGCTCACAGCAACTCAAATCCTGGGCTCAATGATCCTCCCTCAGCCTCCCAGGTAGCTGGAGTCAGGCATGTGCCACCAGCCGGCTTTCTATATATATTTTTAGTTGGCCAATTAATTTCTTTCTATTTTTTAGTAGAGACAGGGTCGTTGCTCTTGCTCAGCGGTTCGAACTCCTGACTTGAGCGATCCTCCTGCCTTGCTCCCGGAGTGCTAGGATTATAAGTGTTGAGCCACCTGGCCTATTGCATTCTTTTTTTTTTTTATTTTTTTTATTTTTTTTTTTTTATTTTTTTTTTTTTTGGAGACAGAGTCTCGCTTTGTTGCCCGGCTAGGAGTGGAGTGCCGTGGCGTCAGCCTGGCTCACAGCAACCTCAAATCCCTGGGTCGAGTGATCCTTCTGCCTCAGCCTCCCGGTAGCTGGGACTACAGGCATGTGCCACCATGCCGGCTAATTTATATATATATATCAGTTGGCATTAATTTCTTTCGTATTTATAGTAGAGACGGGGTCTCGCTCTTGCTCAGGCTGGTTCGAACTCCTGACCTTGAGCATCCGCCCGCTCGGCCTCCAAGAGCTAGGATTACAGGCGTGAGCCACAGCGCCCGGCCTGCATTCTTTTTAATTTTAGAGGAAATTCATGCTCATTAAAAAAAAAACACTTGAGAATGGGCCTGGCTGTAATCCTAGCCACTCTGGGAGGCCGAGGCGGCAGATTGCTGGAGGTCAGGAGTTCAAAACCAGCCTTGAGCAAGGAGCGAGACCCCGTCTCTACTATAAATAGAAAGAAATTAATTGGCCACTAATATAGATAGGAAAAAAATTTAACTGGGCATGGGTGGTGTATGCCTGTAGTCCCAGCTAATCGGAGGGCTGAGGCAGAGGATCGCTTGAGCCACAGGAGTTTGAGGTTGCTGTGAGCTAGGCTGACGCCATGGCACTCACTCTAGCCTGGGCAACAAAGCGAGACTCTTTCTCAAAACAAAAACAAAAACAAACCACTTGAGAAGAAGGTTGAAACTGACCCTTAGTCTATGACGACCCACAGTCACCAATGGTGGCCCATGGGACCACCCCTCGAGGCCCTTTCTCCCCGCCAACACGCATGCAGGTTCACACGCATGTGTTACACGGCTGGGAACATACTTCCTTTCTGACTTCATACCCTTTGTGCTTTTACTTCACGTCCCCAGGGTGATGCTTTGGGGGAAGAGATCTCCCTGTTTTCAGACCTGCTGTCCGGAAAAAGAGCTGAGCGGAAGCAAACCTCGGGCGGCCAGAGCGGGGCTGGGGCAGGGCCAGGACCAGCCGGACAGACGGGACACCCACTGGCCACTGCCTCCCCCCCACACACCTGCAGCCCCGGGTGCGAGGAGGGCGTGGCCGCAGGCTCCCCTGGTGGGTGGGGCCCAGGGATCTGGGAGGCAGAGCAGGTCACGCCCACCCGCCATGAGAAACCCTTTTCTTACCCTCCCTTGTCTCTGAATGGAGGGAACTTTGGGGAGACCCTTTGCACCCCCATTCAGGTTGTCTCTGCGCCTCCACAGGGATCGACTACAAGACCACCACCATCCTGCTGGACGGCCGGCGGGTGAAGCTGCAGCTCTGGTGAGTTGGGGTCCTGTCCTGGCTCTGAGAAGGAGGCCCCCAGCCTCACCCCGACCAACCGGCCCAGCGCCCTGCAGGCCTCGGCCCTGTGGGACGAGCTTCGGCCGGGGGCCTCTCCTCTCCGGAGGAAGGTGGCGACCCCCTGGGTCCCATAGGCACCTTGTGTGGTGGGGGGCGGGGGGGACCCCAGGACTGACACAGCACCGTGTGGGTAACAGGCTTTGTGGGTGCAGGACATGAGACCTGGTGCCTGGGAAGACGCCTCCTGGGGCTGGGAGGGGGCGGCAGGCGCGGAGCTCCCAGCGGGAAGTCGGAGCATCCCGGTGCGGGAGGGGCTGCAGGTTGGGGGGAGGCCTGCCAGGCACCCCGCCCACCCCCGGGCTCTGCGCTGGGTCTCCAGGCTCAGAGGTTCTGGGTCTGCCCCTCTGGTGCCCTCTAGTGGGGGCAGAGGCTCCTGCTGTGACTAAGCCCAGGGCTGGGTCTTTCCGGACCACTGAGGCTGGTTTCCTGCCACCCCCTCCCACCGCCCTGCCATGCTGGCCCACCCCCCAGTCACCTGCACCTCCAGTGGCCGTCCCTGTCTCCCCACCCGTCCCACCCCTCCAGGACCAGCCAGTCTGGGACGCAGCAGCGGGAGCCTCCTCTGCACAGTGTCCCCTGGGTGCTCGGCCCTTCCTGCTGCCCAGCCCTGGGCCTTCCCCCCAGGGTTACAGTCAGCCCCTGCCCTCCTCCCTCTCCCAGGACACATTATTCTCAAGCCCCGTTCTGTCCTTTCCCCAACACCGGGTCCTGGTGCGAAAGCCACCTGCAGGCCCCGCTCTGCCCACGCCTGCCCCTGACCTCACAGGCTGCACCTGCCGGCTGCTCTGGCACCTTCCCAGGCCCCCAGAGGCCCACATGGCAGCTGGAATGCTCTCACCTCTCCCCCCGTTCTGCCGGGGCCTGCAAACACCTGCGTGGCCCCAGGCCACACCGGCCAGACCCCAGAGTGGACACTGTCCTCCCCCCACCCCGAAATCCCTGCAGGACCTCAAGGCCACGCTGTCCACGCCGTCTTCTCTGCAGGGTCATGCTCCCACCCCTGTTCACTACATGCCACTAACAACAGGTGCCCCCGGGGGGCCTGTGGGCCCGGGCCCTCACACCCCAGAGAGACGAGTATGGCACTTTCGTTCCTGTTACGTGTCACCTGTGGCTGGTGACAGCCCTGACCCCAGAGAGGAGGCCCTGGGGGTTTGGAGGGCCAGAGAACACGCTCGCAACGGGCCCCTCTAGTTTTGACTTTTTTTTTTTTGAGACAGATCTCACTTTGTTGCTACAGGCTAGCAGTGACGTGCCATGGCGTCAGACACATAGCCGTCACAGCAACCTCAAACTCCTGGC